TCTCGACCCGCGCTGACCTTGGGGTCTCAGCCCTCCCCGTGGCCGCGCGGGCTTTTGCACCCCGGCCTCCCAGACTGTGGAGGGACGTCGTCCGGGGCTGAGCTGTCGTTGGCAGTAACGCGGAGGCCGCGCTACGCCTTTTCCTTTGGCCTGAACTCATCTGTACCTTCGTACCCGCTTGATAGCGGGCGCACTTGGGCCGTGAGAGGTTCGGCTGCGCAAGGTTGTGCAGCTAGTTAGGGATGCAGCCAGGAGTTCTTGCCCCACGTTTAGAACCTTCTCTCCTTTATCCCTCAAGTTTCCTTGCAACACATTGGTTCTGAGAGTTACGCTGTACATGCGGCAAGGCCTTTACGGAGGGGAGACGGCGCCCAAGACGGGATCAGGGGCGATGTTTGCCGTTGCATGGAACTCAGTCTGAGATCCCGGTCTGGGGCTCGAGGGTCAGACGTTTCTCACCCGCAGTGTAAGGTCAGGTAATAGTTTGCTTTTAATGTAGCGTGTCAAAAGCTCTGCAGACTTAAGGGGACGCAGTGGACACCCACTTGGCCTTTGAATAGGATGCGCCTTTGAACACATGGGTGCTAATAAAACCCACACAGCTGGGAAACGGGGCTGGACTGAGTGGATTCTGGCCTGACTTTATAAACATTGGGACCAGGTCGCTTGTCCAGCCAAATATGGCAATCTTGGGCCGAAGAGAGGGTGGGAGGTAAGCATGTGCAGTAAACTAGGTGGCAGCCTCAGTTCATCTTAGTTGAGGAGGTAACGCCAGGGGCCTGGGCCTTGAGCGAAATATGGACATAACAGAAGTTTTTTTGCCCCTTCTTACCTCTTTTGCGCCCTCCTAGTCGGCTTTGCTCTTTAACTTCTAGATCCTCACTGACCTTGCTCTTGGGCCCCTACCTGGCCTGGGCCTAAGTGAGGGCACCTTAAGTCCTCCCTCTTGGAGTCCCAGGACCGTGGTGCTGCTGCAGTCAGCAGGCATTTGCAGCGATTCTTTCTGCTGTTGCTGTGGCCATTTACTGAGTTCTTATTCCGCAAAAAGCTGGGGTCCTTTATGTTTCCTCCTTAAATTTCGTTGAGAATCCAGTGGGGCAGGTGGAGCTAGCCCTCTTTCACAGAAAGAGAAGCCTCTGAAATGACAGCTTCGGGACTTGCCCAAGGTTGAGGGCAAAGCAAACAAAACTGGTGTGGGAACCCTAGATTCCCACGTTTCTGGCCCCATTGGTCCTCCTTCCAGGTCTTTGCTGGGTGCGGGGAGCAGAGTGCTACACTCAGTGCCTCTAAACTCTCCCTGTCGGGGCTTCCAGAGGCTTCCTCTGGGTCCTGCTTGGCTTCTATCAGGTGCTTTTTCAAGGCAGGGCTGTTGGTTTCTTGGAACCTGGTGCTGTGACAGAGCATCTAGGAGGGTCTGAGGACAGGAAATGTAGGGGTAGACGTATCTGCAAGGGATTTCAGGAGGAGGATACATCTCCCCAGGTCCCTCGGGGGCTGGTCAGCTTTCAGGCCTGTGCTTCGGCCTGGATGGTTTTGCTCCTCAGAAGAGCTGGAGGCCAGGCCTTGGAGCAGCTTCTCAGTAATAGGAGAAGAGGCCTGGGTGACTTAGAGATCCAGCTGTGTGATCCCAGGCAACTTCCTCCATGTAGTGCGGGAGCTAAGACTATAAAGCACCTCACAAATGCTGTTAAATTTGCATGACGTTCTTAAAGTAAAAGCCGAGCTCTTTACTGTGGCCTCCAAGGTCCTGTATGACCTGGCCCATCTTCCATCCCATAGTCCAACCATAATATTTTATGTAACAAGCACTTGCTCTAGGACACCAGATACTGTAACTGACACAGAGCAACTCCTCCATCTTTATATCAGCCCTTCGCAGTGGATACTATTTTTAATCCCTGTTTTACAGATGAGGAAACCGAGGCAGTTCAAGTTAGCTGGAAAGTTAAGTTAGCAGAGCTAGGACATGAGTCCGAGCAGCCATGGGGCCTTCGACCCGCTCCTCCCCACCCCAAGTGCGCTCAGACCTCTGGGTCCCAGCACACGTGCCACCTCTGCCGACGACACTTTTCTCCCAGGTGTCCTGGCCCTTTAGGAGCTGGCTTCTCGGCTCGTTAAAACAGTGCCTGCCACCTAGTACATACACCGTTCATGTCTGCTGAATGAATAATGGTCACACCATCCAGGTTCAGTAACGGAAAACCGGAGGCAAGGGAAGAGCAGTGAGACTGTGTCTCCAAGTAGTGATGTCAGAGGAGCAGGAGGTGAGGCTCTGGTCTGGCTGGGGTCGGGTGGCAGAGCAGCGTTTGCAAGGAAGATGGAAAATGCTTATGATTCCTCACGATGATTTGAGTGACTGTAGTTTAGTAGGTCACTTTAGATGTTACAAAGCATATTAAAATGACAATGACAGCATCTGATTTTAAACATCATCAAAAGCATTACCTTGAGAACTGCACATAAAGGCAAACTGTGTAAATTCAAAATCTGATGTCTTTTCCTGATGAAATCTGGTAATTAAATATTTTTATTCATTAAATTGGTTGTTATAATTGCAGCTTTTACAAAGTGACCTTGTCCTCTTATGCTCTCTGCTTTGTATTTTACAAGACTTCAAGACTGAGATGCAGGTGAAACATAGTGGCTATAGTTCATAACACTGTAGTGTATAATTCAAGTTTGCTGAGAGGGTAGAACTGAAAGTTCTCCCCCCTGCCCAAAAAATAGTGAGGTGATGGATGTGATAATTAAGTAGGTGGAGGCGATCCTTTCACAGTGCATACGTTTATCAGGTCACCACCATGATGTACACTTTAATATCTTACCATTTTACATGTCAGTTATATCTTCAACTGTTATACGGAGCTGAAATTTAAACAAAGAAAGAAAGGACTGAAATACAGCTGATTAATGAGTGTCCAAGCCTGGGTGTTCATCTCACAAGGAAATCACCTATCCTTGACCGTGTTCTTTTTCTGCTTTGAATGCCAACAGTTCTTAACATGGTGATGCAAAGATACTAGTTTTTCAGTTTAAAAGTTGAAAATAATTTTGAGGTGTTAGTGGGGGCCCATTGATGACAATGTGGGACAGCACAGGCTGGGAGAGCCCTGGGGCTGGAGGAACGAGGTGATGGAGTGCCCCGGTGCCAAGGTCAGGGGGCACTGAGGGGTGAGTGGAGCTTAGGAAGCTGTTGAGAATAGTCATGAGAATGGCTTTGGGGAGCAAGGCTGGCATATGAGCTGCTCCCTGTTGAACAGTCGTGGGAAGAAATAGGGTCAAACTCAATAAATGGAAACCTCTTACCAATTAGGTTTAAAACAATAGTCATGGTTATATTTATTACTCTGTTCCTTTTCAGATGCTTCAAAGCCTTACTAAGAATGTTTGGATCCCCATGAAGCCCTACTACACCCAGGTTTACCAGGAGATCTGGGTCGGGATGGGGCTGATGAGCTTCATCGTTTATAAAATCAGGAGTGCTGGTAAGTTTCTTAGTGTTTGACTCATTAGAGGTCAGGGAGAAAATTACTTTAAAAGGAATCACAATTCATGAAACAAAGTTAAAAAATCAATTCATACTGCAAAGGAACTGTGATTCTTAACTAGGAGTAAAACCTCAGAACTCTAGGGGCCTTTGTTAAAATGGGGGGAGTGTACGAGCTATGTCAGCAATAAGAGATATTTGGGGACAGTTGGGGAAATTTGAATAAGATCTTGATGTCAGGGAGGGTACAGCTCAGTGGTAGACCACATGCTTAGCACGCACAGCATGCACGAGGCCCTGCGTTCATTCCCCAGTACCTCCTCTAAAAAAATAAGTAAGTAAACTAATTACTAATTAAGTAAGTAAACTAATTACTAATTACTTCCTCCCATCCCCTCCACAAAAAAAAAGACCTTGGTGTCAGGGAATTGTGAATTTTCTTAGGTGTGACAGTGGTGTTTAGAGTGCATGGCAGATGTCCTTAGTTTCAAGAGATGCAGGCTGAAAGATTTAGGGATGAAAAGTTGTGGGCCATGCTCCTTTACTGTCCCTTTTCCACTGTTTTGAGTGTTTAAAATATTTTCACAATAAAAGTCAATAGAGCAGAAATGAGGCCCAATTGTGTATTAATAAAGTGGTTGGTTAAAAAGAGGGATTAAAAAAAGAAAACTCTAAACTATGAGACTGAAGTTTGGGGTAGAGTGAGGAGTGCAGAGTTCTGCAGATTCTGAAGGGCCGTTTATCTGCTCTGAGAACGTCTGTGGTAGAAATTTGACCACTTCTGAGCTATGAGACCCTGTAGTAACTCCAGTTTTCTGAAGGCTTCCTGTAACAGCTTTACCTAAGCTGTTGTAGGTTCTGTCCTGCAAAAGTCCCACCGAGACGGAATGAATTGCCCGAGACTGTGGAAAGGCAAGAGAGCAAGAGGGAGTCAGGGACCAACTCTATGAGCCTCTCAAACACTGCCATGTTTATTGTGCACAATCAAAGAAGAGATCACCAACAATTGTGTCATGGAACGCAGGAGCTCAAGGAAGAACAGGATCGGGTGGAGATCATGAAATCCACAATGAGTAACTGCTTAATTTACCCTCGGCAGTCGTGGGGGGAGAGGAACAAGATACATTCTTCAGGTATAAGAAGTTGATTACAAAACAGACCACCAGACCAGCCAGTTTCTGTGTTGGGGATATAGACTATCTAAACAGCATAAAGCATGCCCAGCATTTATAGCTGGGGGCATAGGTCTTCGCTTTGCAAGGAGAAGAGTAAACCCTAAGCTAGGGACCTATGCTTACAATAAACAAGCCGTGTCCTACATTTATACCAAGAGACACATAATGGCTTTGCCACTGGAAGCAGTTCTAATTTAAAACCTCAACTATGCAAGCAAGGCATTGTCTCTGCTTTTTACGGCAAGGAGACAGGAGTGCAGGTGCACGGGCGCCTGCTAGCAAAGCACATTTGTTCTTCCTTGAAGGTCACAAGCAGCTGGGGTCTGTTGCAATTTATTACCCCAATCACGGGCTCCCACAAGCTGTGAACTTTTCAACAATAAGTTGACTAAAGGCTTTTTGGAAAAGTATTGATATGACCAATTTTTCTTTCCTTTTATTTTAGATAAAAGAAGTAAAGCCTTGAAAGGTAAGATTTTCGCTTCTCAAAATGGATGGGGAATAAAAAAACACCATCATACCTTTCCAGAACAAGGTGTATCACTGTTGTGAAGTGAAGCCCACGTGCGGTTCGGTAATTGTGTAGATGCGGTGGAGTTCTGTTTCCTGAAGCCTGTGTGTTAAACCCCCCGCCCCCGGGCCGGGCGCGGCTTCCGGAGCGCTAGAAACGGAAACTGACCAGAGCTCACTGCCGCCTCCTAACACGTGTTTCAAAAGAAAGCACCGCATAAACGTGTGCCCTTGTGCTAGACATTTCTTCACTTTGCTTCTAAATGGCATGAAACTGAAGTCATTTAGGTCCGCCACAAACCCCGGGCTGGCTCACGGCTTTGGGAGCAGCCGTTCCCCCGCCCCTCGGTCCTCGCGCCTGCGGGTGAGCTGTGTGCGCGCATCAGTCCCACAGACCCTCCATACACTTCATCAAACTGAAAGTTGTCCTTTACACTTTCTGACTTGTTACCATGCCCTCATATGGTAAACTGCATTCTGTGTGTTCCTTCCCTCCTAAATTGTGTCTATTAAGTATCTGTTATGCTTCTCTTTGAAAAGCTTCCAGTCCTGCGCCTGCTCGTGGTCACCATTAACCAGCTTTACGTGGACAGAACGTCAGTCTGGCCGTGTTGATTGGGAACGTGGGACGTCGTGTTGACTTATAGACGTGCCACTGCCCTGATGCATGAATAAACGTACCTGTGAGATCCCCGTGTCCCTCCCTGCACCCTGTCCCCGCCGAGCTCTGAGTGGGTCTCTGTGTGCAGTGGGTGCAGCCGGAGCCCCACCAAGATGCCCCATCCTTAGGGGACCTGTGGGGCTGAGGAGTAAGCACTCCGATTAGCACAGGAGTTGGGGTCAAATATAGGCACCCACACTCTCATCATGGCAAATAAACGTTAAACAGACGATTCTGCTACTTACACCTGGGACTTCTCTGAGCCTCTGTTTTCTCATCTGGAAAATGGAGCTGATAATATGTAAGTTCTAACTTAGAGTTACTGTGAAGCCCAGTCAGAGATTTGGAAAAGCGTTATTTAAAAATGCTTTAGAAATAAGGAAGTATTAGACCCCACGGTGGGTGGAACTCTAAGCTCCAGGAGATCTTATGGAGAAGCCACATGCAAGGCAAAGTGAGTAATACAAATAAATTAGTTTTTTATTTCTAGTTTGGCTAATATTAAATGAATGCTGCGTAATGTTTTTCTCCATCTAAGGCAATTACCAGGGGGCAGGGTATAGCTCAAGTGGTAGTGTGCATGCTTAGCATGCGTAGGGTCCTGGGTTCCATCCCCAGTACCTCCTCTTAAATAGATAAACAAACAAACCTGACCCCGCCTGAAAAAAACCTACTAAGGCAATTACCCAAACCCCTACAATTGCATTTTAAAAAATAGATTTGAAGGCAGTAAGCATAGGGGTATGCATGAGTCCAGTTTGAAATCTGGTGTTTTGCAGGTGAGTAGGGGTCTGCCTGTGGGATAAAAATGTTGACCCTGGTCCTGGTCTCTTCTTTTAAGGGCGGGGACCATCCATGTTTTCCATTTGTGTCTCCAGCTTTAGTGTCAGGTCTGGCCCGGGGGTGGAGCCTGACAGATGACTGCCATTTACTGTGGGGTCTCTGAGCCTCAGTTTCTTCTGGTGTGAAGTGGGGATAAAGCCCACTTGTCTACCTCACAGTTGTTAGTTGAGCTGGGAGTTGGCGGGAAAGTGTTACACAGCCCCAGTGAAGTTGGCCCTGCAGCCGGGAGATGGGCCAGGTTCTGGTCCAATGCAGGAAACATGTCTTTTCCAGTAAGGTCTTGTTCTGTTCTCCCTTCAGAGGGTGAATCAGCACTGCAGTTCAGAGAGATCTAATCTTAGAAGTTACTTATCTGGGCCATCCGTTCTCAAACTTGAGCTTGTATCAGAATTACCTGGGGGGCTATTAGCAAAGACTGGTGGGGCCTGGTATTTCTGTTACCACTGGTCTTGGAAGGAACCTGAGAACTTGTATTTCTCACAGGTTCCCAGGGTGTGCTGATGGCTGAGGACCACACTTTGAGAACCACGGGTCCATACAGAGAATGGCCCCCACCAGAGCCCTTATAGCCCTATCAGCGTTCCTCGTGGTGCTGCATGTCTAAGCACATTTGGGCCTAAGAACTCAGTGCAGTGGAGCTACAGACCCATTTTACAGAGGAGGAAGCCAAGGCCATGACAGTCAGTGATGTGCCAAAGTTCACCTGGCTGGTGCTGGGACCAGGGATCCAGGAGTCTGAGCTCTTACCCAGGGAGGGAGAAGCTGACAGGAGCCAGCCCCGGAGTCTGTAGAAGAGCTGGTGTGCTGGCCCTGCGAGCACATTGCCCTCCACTGCCTATGGGTTCCTTCAGCTATAATCGTCAGTAAGTAAAAATTATCCTGTAAGAGATGCTTCTTACCCATCATGGACCTGGTGCCCCTCGCACGCCTGTGCAGAAGCAGAACGGGGTGAGGGGCAGCAGGAACTGATTCTGTGAAGGGAGCTCATGAGATTGAGGGTATCCCGTGCAAGGTGGAGCCGGCTGGTGGGCTGCCTGCCCATAGGGCGGTCTGGAGGAGGTCTGCAGAGACCCGCCCCTGCCCCCTTTCCCACCACCACCCCCGGAGATATTGCCGGGCGTCAGCTGTGCTTTTAAGAGTGGAACAAAATAATTTTTTTTGAGTAAAGGTAGTTTTATTTAGAGAGATCTATACTTCATGGGCAGAGTGCAGGCTGTCTCAGAAGGCAAGAGAAAAGCCACGAGGTGTGGGGGTTGGGTGCTCAGGTTGAAGTAGAAGTAGACACAGTCCATGGACAGTGCGGGCGTCTTAGAAGGGAAAGCGGCCCAAAACCGTCTCCCTGCCGCACCAAGTGCTTTCCTGCCCTGATTCCTAAGTGGGGACAGGTGTTGGTCACATAAAGCAGTAGGCTTTCCTTGCTGCCACTTACTGGTCGCCGGGTCCGAAGTCCTCCGCTTGGGGCGCCTGCCGGCCGTGTCCCAAGGTGGCCTGTAGGTGGCGCCGGCGCCCGCCGCCAGCCGGTCCTCACGGCTTCCCTGGGCGCCCATGCGCAAAGACCGGGAGCGGGT